CTCTCTGCGACCTTACGTTTAAATTACAACCGATTGTTGATAAATCGATTTCTCAAACCATGTGTGTACACTTTTTTTTTTATCTTTCTCTAGTGATTGCGAACAACTATATAAGATTTATTATCCTCGCAATAATGTTGACGAATTCTGACCAAATACTGACCTTTGTTTTTTAACCCTTCTGTCTATGAGTCTTTATAAAATTGTTTTATCAAAATTGATATCTAAACGTTTTTGGGGTCTGATTACAATTCTGATATCAATTGTTCAAAATAGCAGATCCCATATTGAGGAGGGATTTTTAAAAATTGTTCACCTTTGTGAAGCAGGAAGTTTTTTTTTAAATTCCGCCATATTGGATCCGCCATTTTGAATTTTGATAAACTGATGCTAGATTCTATCGATTCTAAAACCGACGTTCTTTTAAAAACAAAAATTCGAGTTGGCAAAAAAAGAAATTAGTTCATATTTTTTTTATTTTTCGACAAAGCCTTATAATGAAGTTTCGCGTAGAGCACGTGCACACACGTCAACAAACCAAACGTCTCGTATGTCGCGAGGCTTCGTCCGACATATTTAAAAAAGTTTACGATCCTACCTCGCAATAACCGTTGGAGAGGACTCGTGTCGGTATTCTCGTTCGTCGATTGTGAGCTTGTTGCTTCGCTTTCGTTCATTCCCTGGCTTACTCCTTCTCGCAGAGATCCCTTTTTTACTACTTTTTCAAGCTAGAACGTCCAGACTGCACACCAACCCCCCACTAATTTTTTTTTTTTGTTCAACTCTCCACCACACATCATTCTATCCTTTTTCCTATATATTCCCATCCTTTTCTTCAGCTTGAAACTCTTCTTTTTTTTCGGAGGGTAACCTCTCTTTTCTTTCCTTAGCCACATAAATTTCGACCCGGTTGATTCTCACTCTGTCGAACGTAATAAAATATACCGCCTGTATCGTAAATTTTTAGTCGAATATTTTCGAAAATACCAATTCCGTAAAAGTAGAATTGGAAAAACTTTTAAGGTAGATTGGTGGAGTAATAGTTGTCATATCGGATTTTCGTTTAACCAGTAACAGAATTAAGAACTAAATGCTAAAACTGAATATAATAGTAAAGTTTTGACTTAAGATTTGTAATCGCGACATCAAAATAAAACATTACAGTTACATTGTTAGGAGAGTCTTGGTAAAGTTTTTTCTATCTATCCTGACAGTTACCCACCACCAACGCATTGGCAATCTTCATAATGACCGTTCTTGTCAAACTTTCTCTTTTTCCCTCCCAAAAAAAAAAAAACGTTCCTCTTTTTTTCCCAACCACTTTCAGTATACACCAGCACGATGTTACATGTCGACTAGAGTGGATGCTAATAATGGAGAAACTCCATAGTTCTTCTTGGGCACCAGTCATTCAGAGACACTTCTTTTGCATTCAGCAGCATTTGTTTGCGCTTGGAGTCGTGTTTTCAATGGACAGTGTCATCGCGCTAACGCACATACGTATTCCTTTAACGGGTGCGCGTGCATGCCATATTGTCTCTTGTAATGGCGATATATGTATGTGTGCATGTAATTGCGGTAGATGAACAATGCTCTACTACTGCGACGACAACGATAGATGTTCTCTCCTCTCTTTCTCTTCAGTTCTCCCATTCTTTAGCTATTTTTCACCCTTATCCTCAACTCTCTATCTCTCTCTCTCTCTTTCTCTTTTTCACTCTCTTTCTCTCTAGTTCTCGCTCATTCTCGCGAGGGTTATATTTTAAGCGACTGTAAAACCTCGTAATAAACGGGGTGTTTTTCGAGTCTCAGGCCACAGGGGCCGGGGCAATAATTACACAGAGTGCGACGATGGCGAGCTCCTTTCAGTTCTCTAGCGGGAGATGATGGATTTGTTGTCTTCCGTGTTTTTACTCTTAGCTTTCTACCCCCATCCACACTACTTTTCTTTCTTTTCATCTCTCCTTCTCTTTTTCTCTCTCACTCTGCACAAACTATATCTCCAGTGGACAATGCCATTATTCAGAAAATGAATTCTTTTTTACAATTAAATAAAAAATTGGGTAATATTACGCTTGTTTAATAATAAGGTAATTTTAGTCTTTCTAAATTGACGAAAGACCGTTTGTTTATTTAAGAAAAAATAATTTGTAATTTATACAATCGAACTATTAGATCAAAGATGGAAGAAGTTCGTCGACCACTCGGACCAGTGAACTATATGCAATAATTAGATGTTCGACCATATGGTTAGGTGTCAATATATTTTTGACAGTCAGAAGCCAACCTTCATTAAAGGTAGAGGATCCAAGAAGAGACAATTTAATTCTCAGGTTTCTTAAAAAAAATTTGTAATTTATACAATCGAATAAATAGATCTGGGTTGACACAAAATAGAGTCAAAGATGAAAAAAGTTTTGTTCTTTCTTTAGTCAATGAAGAAAGAAGTCAATATATTTCTATGACAGTTAGCAGTGATCCCTCATTGAAGATGGAAGATCCAAGATTGAAAAATCTAATTCTCAAGATAATTTATAAAAAAGAATTTGTAATTTATACAATCGAATTATAATTATAACAATAAAACTCGAAAGTTTTAACTCAAGGGATTATGTGACCAAAAGACTTAAACAAGATCTTGAATATAACCTCCCATAAACTGAACAAAAAATAATTTTCATTTCTCTCACCTTGTAACATAATCTCGTGTAATTTAAATTTAATTTGAATTAATCTAAACAAAATGGAAAATCGTCTTGTAAATGAAATATGAATTTCTAATTATTAGAAACTAAATTGCTTGTTCGGATACTCAGGTGCTTATGTTGAAGTGAGGACATTGAAAATTAAACACGCGTCAAGCCAAAAGGAGAGACAAGAAGCAATAATGCGGTTTATGCTGCCTGAAGGTACCCGGCATTTAACAGTTAATGAGCTTCGGTCTAGTCATACTCGGCTTACTTTACTTTAAGCACAGAAATTCTCACGCTAACGCAAAACGAAATATGCCGGCGGAAGCAAATCTAGAATTACTTACTCCTGTAATTAATAAACATCGCTTGTAAATTATAATGATTCGATATTATTTTCAAACTATATATATATATATATATCAAAAATGTTCGTCAGGTACCCGCACATATGAAACTTGTTTACACCACATTTTAATGAAATTCAATTATTAAAAATTGATTCTAAAACTACTTAAAGTTAATAAATAAATAAACTTACATACAAAGTAAATAAATTTCAAACAATAATTTCAAAAACAAAATCAAATAGCGGATATGAATGAATTTTGTATATTTACATAAAATAATTTTTTAGAGATTCAAATCATACAAGCAATAAACGCTGTACGAAATAAATAAGTTTTTTTTTCGTTACCAACGTGAGAACTATTATTAAATTATTGCTTCCTTTTTCAATAACCAAAGTAGTGAGGACTATATAATAATCCAATTAATAATCTAATTTACAATTCGTAAAACGAGTTTTAAAAATTTTTTTTAAAATAGTTACTCTAGTTTTTGCCGCACATATAGGCGACATATACGCATTTCCGTTTATATATCCAGGAGAGTTTGTCGGTCTTACTCGCGAGGAACTTATAACAGAGACAAATTGCAGGAAATCGATATCCACGGACGCGATGTTAATTAAAAAAAAAAAAAAAAAAACGTTAAAAGGATGTCAAAGAGATTAAAAACAAGAAAATCAAGAAGAAAAAGGTTCTTGTTATATATGTGTAACCCGTTCCCTCGTTCACTGTGTAATTTTATTATTTGAACAAGCTGACGCGGAAGTCTCGTAAAAGGGTTGTCGAGATTGCGAGCAAAAGGGTTTTCGAGAATAAATTCTTCGCAACTGGCATAATTATAGGCCAATTAATTAAACTCTATCTGTTATAGAAACTAACAAAAATCAAAATCTACCAAGACGCAAGCAGTAATTGCAAATCAAGCGCGCTGTATAGAGTTTGATAATATTCGTTTACCATTTTTTTTTTTTCTTTTAAATCTATTTCAATTTTAATTCACTTGAGAAGTGCTTTTGATAAATAATATATGCTCTCAATATGTCATTACTGTAACAACTCATTAAAGTGAATTTCACAATTTTCCTTATCCTATATAGTATATTATTATCGTTAATGGCCAATAACTGAGTGCGTTTATATTTTTTTCATTCGAATCTGAACAAACAGTAATTTACATAATTGTTGATCTTCAAATTTTAATCAATTAAATAAATGAATACCCGAATAGCGCAAATATTTCGCTGTCGATCTAATTAATCTTGGAAAGTTCTCAACCGTATTTTTTTTATGTTTTTCGTAAAATTATATAATTCTTTTGAAATGGTAACGAAGTACTTTTTATTTTTTTTATTCTTTGATATTTCTAAATTATATAACTATTACATCATATAAGTCTATAGGAATGCACCAGTGGATTAGATAAAAAAAAATCTATCCAAACCCCAAATTTTATTAAAAATTTGCTGATATCTCTTAACAAGGGGTTCTTGGAATCGTTGATGTCGAATCTAAAGAAAGATTTACAAAATCCAAAATGGCGGATCCAATATGGCGGTCGAATTTTTAAAAAATTGTTGAAATTTCTTGAAACTTGGTATCTAACGGTTTTTTGGGTTGCTCATTACAAATTTGAGGTCAGATTTTCAAAATTCAAAATGGAGGATCTAATATGGCGGACACATTTTTGAAAAACAAGTTGGATTTTTATGAAACTTGGTACCTAAGAGGGTTTAGGGTCGCTGATTGCGAATCTGAAGTCAGATTTAAAACATTTTTAATTTCAAAACGAATTTAAAGTGACTAAATTGTAGATTTAATGTTGAACAAATAATTTACAGTAAAAAATTATTTTGTTTTTAATATAGACGCACGTATTTGTCAGAGAAAAAATTAATTCAAAAGTGGATTATTTTAATATTTTTTTGTATTAATTTAAGCTACAGCACTTTTTAATAGGTACCTGTTAGTTTACTGTGAAGCCAAAGTCATCCTTCATACATCAGGATCCGTTTGAGCAAATCAAAAACTCTTTTCTCGTACAAGTCACGATCTTCTTTTCTCTATCTGTAACATATTATAAAAAATAAAATTGTAATTAATAATATAATGAATATTATATATAATAATAATTATAATAATAATAATAATAATAATAATAATAATAATAATAATAATAATAATAATAATACATTTTAATATTATTATATATAATAGAAAACAATTGAAATATAAATTTTTGGATTTGATTATTTCCCAGACTTCGCACTCGATAATTAATTTTAAAAAAGTATCAAAAAGTAGCTTTAAAACTTATTAAAAAAAGTGATAAAAAAGTAGCTATCAAAAAATTAAACTTGACGACCAAAAAAAAATCGTTTAAGAAACTTATCAAAACTGATAAAAATTCCTTTCTATATTTTAATTTCCTGACTTTTCCCTTAATTTTTATTAAAAATATTTACTTCGTTCTTATCCTCTGCTAATAAATTAAATTCCTTCAACGAATTTTAATATTGATAAAAAAATTTAAATATTTATAAAAATAATTTAATTTCTAAGAAGAATTTTCTAAAAATTTTTAAATAATTGATTTCTTTCGACTAATTTTATGCAAATTCTAATTTAAATAATTGAATTCCTAAGCAATTTTTATTATTAATGAAAAAAATTTAATTCTTACCAAGATTTTTACAAATAATTGAATTGTTTGGAAATTTTATGAAAATAAATAAATATTGAAAATCATTGAATTATAAAAAGAATTTAAAAATAATTAAATTATTAAATTACATAATTAAATTCAATTATTGAATGTCTGTGTAGCATTTTATCACATTTTTTTTGAAAATTATTAAATTCCTAAAAAGCATTTTATTATTTATAAAAATAATTAAATTCTTGCAAACGATTATATTAGAATTTTTTTAAATAATTGAATTTCCAAGAAAAAATTTATTACTTTTAAAAATAATTGAATTCTTAGAAATAATTTTATTAAAATTTAAAAGAATAATTGAAATATTTCAAAAAAAATTTAATTAAAATTGTATTTAAAATAATTGATTTCTTTCGAACGATTTTATTAAAATATTTGAAAATAATTGAATTCTTGTGGAAAATTCTAATATTTTTATGTAAATAATTGAAATCTTCCAAAGAATTGAAAAAACATATTTTTTTAAATAATTGAATTTTTTTTTTTAAATTGAATTTTTATGAAAAATGTTATTATTTTCTAAAGTAATTGAATTATTGTGAAGAATTGTATTCAAATTTTGTTAATTAATTGATTTTTTAGAAATTTTGTTTGAAAATGCTTTTCTAAATTAATTGAATTTCTGTGGAAATTTTATTATTTATGAAAATAATTGAATTTTGGCTGAATTTTATCAATTTTTCTTTTTAAATAATTAAATTCTTTTGCGAAATTTTATGAAAATACTAGATATTGAAAATAATTGAATTTCGAATATTTTTTGAAAATACTTGAATCGTTTTAAAGAATTTGACTATAATTTTTTACAATAGTTTTTTTATTTCTAGTAATAGCAAATTTAAAGTAAGTGTGAATTCTAAAAAAAACAAAAATAGTTACTTTTAGTGGCTGAAATCTAAAAAAAAGTACCCAAATAGTAACATAACGTAAAAAAAGTAGTAAATAGTAGGTTTTAGTAAATAAGTGCGAAGCCTGTTAATATTATATAATAATAATATTAATATATTATAATATTATTATATATAATAGAATATAATTGAAATATAAATTTTTGAATTTTAATATTTCTATACCTTCAGAATCATCTTCAATCGTGTCCCATAAAAATTGGTATTCTTCACAACAAAATAGTTCCATGGATCTACACTTTCACACTATGTAAAATTATATGCAGCGCAACCGTCGCTAAAAAAATTTGTCATTCCGACTATCGTTTTAAAACCAATTTTAAAAAATTGAACATAAAAAAAAATCAGGGAAAGAGATAGAAAAATTAATCAAAGATAATACGTTACAAATTTTTGGAAGGTATTCCATACCACCTATATATGTAAAAAAAAATCTCTATACAAAAATCTGAGGCAAGTGAGAATTCTTCTTCTTTTTCTTTCATTATTATTATTATTTCGCCCAAGAACTCGTGATCGGTTATTCGTGAGTTTTCATGTGAGAAAGCCGAAGTGCGCTTGGTATCCAATATGCAATAAACATACGGCGGTTTGACGTATTTAATAGTAACGCGCTCATATAATGCTTGACATGCATATGGAAGCTTTTATGTTTGGAGGGGGGGGGGGCAGGGCGATAGGGGAGGATGAGTATCTCAACTCTTCAACAAATGGTTCTCATTACAAAGAAGAGTGAATCCTTTAAAGGATTTCATTCTTTTTCAGTTGTTAAATGAAAGGACGAATTGAGAGTCTCTGAGAGACCCTAAGGCGCGTATAGCCCGCGGTTAATTGCATGTCTGCTCCTCGAGGCAGTCTCTGAGGCGCAGTCACGCTACTTCTGACTTCTGCAGCACCTCGTCACACAATTCTCGCGTAGGAGAGAAGAAGTACTCAAGAAAAAAAAAATCAAGACAAAAAAAAAAACAGAATTTTTTCACGAATACTGTGCGCCCTTCGTAAAATTTTTGATTTACGATTACGTATTTTATGAAAAAAAAAAGTGTTTGAATTTTGTTTTAACTTTAAAGTGACATTATAATCTCACTCTCCAATATCTCTGAGAATATAATAATAATTTAATAATATAATTTATGGGTCAAATTTAACCTCTATTTTTGTCCTTATTGGGGACGTAATGTAACGGCCCCCTAGGCTTTAGGTTCTTCTTTTTGACGTATAGGTCACAAAATAGGTAAAATAGGTCAAAAAACATTAATTTTGACGTAACTTAAGAGCCTTTTTCGGGGACATAATGTAACGGCCCCCAGGGGGCCCTTATCGGTGGCGAAATTTTTTTTTTAATATAGGGAAATTATTATTGTATTACATTATATACTTTCAGTTAAAAATTAAAATTAAACACATGCTGAAATTTAAGAAAATATATTAAATAAAATATAAATAAAATAAAATATTAAATAATTATTCATTTCATCAAAATTTGTTAATGTACATTTTTCTTATATATATTTATTACGCTAGATTTTTCGCGTTATTTATAAGTGAAAATAAAAATATATACCAAAATTTTAGTCAATTTTTCAATATTCTACAAAATTTTAATGCACTTTAGGTCGAGATTTGTAAAAATTATATGTAAATAAAAATTTATAACAAATTTTAGTCCCCTAGAGGGACAAAAATTGCAAAAATTAGGAAAGGGGAAACGCGTTTTTAGATTTCTTTTGATTCTACAAAATTTTAAGGCACTTTAGGTTGAAATTTGAAAAAATTAAAGAGGAGGGAAAAGTATAGTTTACAAGTTTACATATTTGCACATAATTTCAACCCTTTGGGTCAAAATGGCAAATTTTGGGTGGGAGGTGGCGGCAATTAACAAGTGAAACCATTGGGGTCTATATTTGCCATCACTTGATGAACAAAACCTTAAGAAATAAAATTTACACTGAATAATTAATTAATCAATTTTAATTGATTAATTATTACACGGAGAGAAGAGTTATAGTAATGGCTACGATAAAACGAGTTTAATAACGAAATTACACGGGAGAGCGATAGTAGCGCCTCTTGCGGTTTAGTAGATCCGAATGTTACATCAGTTCGTCTAAAATTAACTAAACTGTTAAGTTATGAATTATTTAGACTTCGCACTCGATAATTAATTTTTAAAAAGTAGTAAAAAGTAGCTATTTTTTTAAATAATTGAATTTCCATAAGAAAAAATTTATTATTTTTGAAAATATTTAAATTCTTGTGATGAATATTTTTATTTATATGAAAATAATTGAATTTTGAAAAGTAGTTTATTAAAATGCCTCAAAATAATTTATTTTTCGGGAATAATTTTGTTATTTATCGACATAATTAAATTTTATTCAAGAATTATTTATGTCAATAATTGAATTCTTCGGAAGAATTTTATTGAAATCTACAAAAATAATTAAATTATTTAAAAAAAAAATATAATTGAAATTATATTTAAAATAATTGATTTCTTTCGAACAATTTTATTAAAATATTTAAAAATAATTAAATTTCTTTGAAAAGGAAAATAATTCAATTAAAAATTTTGACAATAATTGAATTCTTGCGAACGATTTTATTAGAATTTTTGAAAATAATTGAATTTCCAAGAAGAAATTTATTACTTTTAAACATAATTAAATGCTTGTCATGATTATTGTTGTTTAACAAAATAATTAATTTTAACAAAGAATTTTATTACAATGCCTCAAAATAATTTATGTAAATAATTGAATTCTTGAATAGAAGAATTATTTTCAAAAAAATGTAATTAAAATTGTATTTAAAATAATTGATTTCTTTCGTAAATTTTATTAAAACATTTTTAAATAATTGAATTCTTGCGAAAAATTCTAATATTTTTGTTAATTATTGAATTCTTTCTAAGCATTTTAAAAATATATTTGTTAAACTAATTGGTTCTTTCGAGGAATTAAAATTAATTTTTTTTAAGAATAATTACATTTTTTGAGTAATTCGTTTAAAATTTTAGTAAAAATAATTGAAATCCTGCGATAAATTTTTTTATTTATGAAAATAATTGAATAGTTGCAAAGAATTTTATTAAAATTTTTAAAAATAATTGATTTCTTTCGTAAATTTTATTAAAATATTTAAAAATAATTCAATTCCTAAGAAGAATTTTATTATTTATGAAAATAATATTAAATTATTGTGAAAAAATTTATTAAATTATTTAAAAAGAATTGAATTTCTGTTAAAAATTTCATTATTTTTGAAAATAATTGAATTCTTCATAAGAATTTTATAAACATTGTTTTTAATAATTAATTTTTTTCGAAACATAATAAATATTATGAAAATTTTATTTTAAATAATTGAAATCCTGCGATGATCTTTTTTAATTTATGAAAATAATTGAATTCGAGCTAAGAATTTTATTAAAATTTTAAAAAATAATTGGATTCCAGAGAAGAATTTTATTATTTATGAAAATATAATTGAATTATTGCGAAAAATTTTATTAAAATGTGTAAAAAGAATTGAATTTCTGTGAAAAATTTTGTTATTTTTGAAAATAATTGAATTCTTTATAAGAATTTTATAAACATTCTTTTAAATAATTAATTTTTTTATAATAAATGTTATGAAAATTTTTATTTTAAATAATTTAATTCTTGTGGAAAACTTTGATTGTGAAATTCTTCGATGAGTTTCATTATTATGAAAGTAATTGAATTCTTGCTTAGAATTTTATCAAACATTTTTGTTTTAAATTGAATTTCCATGAAAAATGTTATTATTAGTGAAAGTATTTGAAGAATTGCATAAAAATTTTCTTAAATAATTGATTTTTTCGAATTTTTTTTTGAAAATGCTATTCTAAATTAATTCAATTCCTGTGGAAATTTTATTATTTATAAAAATTATTGAATTTTTGGATGAGTTTTATAAATTTTTTTTTGAAATAATTGAATTCTTTTGCGAAATCTCATAAAAATACTAGATATTGAAAATAGAATTTCGAATATTTTTTAAAAATAATTGAATCGTTTTGAAAAATTTGATTATAATTTTTAAGAATAGTTTTTTGATTTCTAGTATTAAGCAAATAAGTAGTGGAAATTGTCAAAAATAACAGAAATAGTTGGTTTTAGTGGCTAAAATCTAAAAAAAAGTATTCAAATAGTAGCATAATGTAAAAAAAAGTAGTAAATAATAGGTTTTAGTAGATGAGTGCGAAGCCTGATTATTTAGTTATGAATTATTAAGTTATGAATGAAGTTTAAAAATAAATTTCAAAAATGAACCGACAGTCCAAATTACTAGCCAATTCTCTCCGTGAGTAGAAAAATATAATTGGTACCTGGTCCTCTTCTTCTCCAGCCTAATTCATATCTAAGGGTGAATCAAAGACACGCACATATTGTACAATGTCTAAGATAGACCCTTAAATAATCAGCCAAAACTTATTCCAGCTTGCATCTGCAACGTAGCTTGTCCATAATTTTTAAAATTCATTCCATTAACTAAACCCAGCAAAGAAGAGTTCAATTCAAGTGAATTCTAACTTTTTAGTCAATTTTACTTTCTTTTTAAAGAATAACAATGAAAAATATTAGAGAAATTCTATTTTCTTAAATTTATAATTATTATAAATTATTATAAATTAAATTTATTATATAAACTATTATAAAATACAAATTTCTAGTTTTTACTCTTTTTTTAATAAATTCATATTCGCATTTACTTTAATTGTTCATAGTAAGCATAATTATATTATTATTATATTAATAATTAATTATATTATTAAAAAATTATATTTTTATATTTATACCTACTTTTATATTTATTTATAATAATATTTATTTCATATTCATTTAATATTTATAATTTATATATTCAAAAATTAACTATACATGTAAAATATTAAGATATGTTTTAAATTTTTGTCAGCATTTAATTAAGTATAGATTCTTTTGCTGATACTTTAGTTTTTTTATGTTTTTATATATTTTATACTTTAGTTGATATTTTCGTTAAATTAAAATCAAATTAAAATCAAATTAAAATCAAAGCGAATTTATTCATTCGAATCAAATTTTTCTTGTCGAGAAATCAATGAAATAAAGTTCACAAATGATGTGCAGTTATGTTAGCATAGCACGTCCCTATCCCGCTACGTCGGGTAAGGAGAAACTGACTTTCCTGGTTATATAGTTTTATATAGGCAGGTCTAATCAGTTATTTCCCCAGAAAAGACGACCAACCTTTCCCTAAAATCCGTCCATATTTACTTCATCTAAGGAAAAATTGCTCGTCCCAATAGGAACTTTAGCACTTCATTGGCATAGTACATTCAAGTTAGCCCTGTTCCCACCCCCCCCCTCGTATAAATAAACTTTTTTTTTTCTTTGATGAAACATAGAACGAACGCGATTATAAGAAAGTCGTACGCGCGCGAAACGATTTGTCTATGTAAACGAAGACAAAGAACGAGGAAAACATTTTCGAAACACCCTATAAAAACTTCGATCGCGATTTTTCAAAAACCATCGAAACACTCCCGGAGCTAATTTCCGAAAAACCGACGCGACGCGAATAGGATTGCCAAGAAAATTTATTCGAAACGGAAAAACGAGTAAAGAAAAGAATTCTATAATGAAGATTCGATCGCGGAACTAAAAAAAAAAAAGAGTCGAACACTCGCGGAGCTAGGCACTTTTAAACACTTGCACACACAACCGACACGACACTACCGAAGGCAATCACTATTTGAAGACTGATGATATGACGTATACCTGAAATCAGAAAAGAAAATATTTATTATCGAGAAATTTGGATAAATAGTCATAGGTCATCTTTAATTATTATAAAACAAAGAAAGCTATTCGAAGACTCGGAGTTATCGATTTTCATGTTTTAAAGGTTGAGAAAAATAATTTATAGTTTTAAGTAAAATTTGGAGTTCTTTTATTTGACTCGGACTTGTTATATTTTTGTCAGTAATTGGTTTACGTAATTTTTTAAATTTTTGGTCCTTAGGGTCCGTATTTACTATTTTTAAATACTTTTAGTGGTTCGAGCCCAGTATGTTATATGTATCATCCATTGACCCGTGTATTAAAATTGTGATTTTAAAATTCAAATGCGTCGTATAAAGTTGAATGAAGAAATAGGAGTAATATATAAGGGGAAAAAAGAAGCAGATTCTAGATGTTACTTTTATTTATAAAACGTGGATTTTATTCACGTTGAGAGGATGTAAATTGCAGCGTTAGACGAAACATTGAAGCATTTATATAGTCACCCTAACAAAAATCCTCGTTTTTCACCCCTCACGCGATGAGCGACTGCAAGAAAATGCACATATAACGCGTTACCTTATGAATAAAACTCCGCCACTTTCCCTATATTATATGTACGCGTGAAGAGAAAAAAAAACGGATTTTCTATTTACGATGACCATTTGGATTTTGTTATATAAGCTAAGGGAGAGAGAGAGAGAGAGAGAGAGAGAGAGAGAGAGAGAGAGAGAGAGAGAGAGAGAGAGAGAGAAAGATTCGCTGTGATTTTGTCAGCTTTATAGTAGATTTTCTGTCATAAAAGAATAACGGGGAACACCCCTCAAGTTTATACCATTATTATATATGCAAGTGTGGCTCGATTCTCTAGTCTCTCTGATGAATGGTAAAATATCTGGTTGCCCCAATGGTTTTTTCGGGCATTATAGTTGACCATTGGAGAAATACCTGGGACCTTTCTCTTATATGATGATCCATGTAAACTCTCAGGGTTGAGTCACCCCTTGTATATAAAACCCAATCTGACAGTTTTTTTTTCCTTCTTAATAGGATGTATTATAATTTTTTTTTCTTCTTCACGGGCCAAACAAGTTTCTTGACCCATGATTTTTGTCATATATGTATTACAATCAGGAATCAATGAAAATTTTCTTTTTCAATGATATTCATTAATTGGTTGCAATTCAATAACCAAAAATGGTTTTTTCTTTCAGTTATACAATAAAGGCCTCTGTACTCGGTAATTAATTTAAAAACAGTCGTAGCTTTATTAATAGCATGTTTTTTAAAGTGACACATTTAAAAAAATATTCGAAATTCAATTATTTTCAACCTCTATTTTCATAAAATTTCGCAAAAGAATTCAATTATTTTAAAAAAGAATTCAATTATTTAAAAAAAAAAAAAATTGATAAAACTCATCCAAAATTAAATTATTTTCATAAATAGAAAAATTTTCACATGAATTCAATTATAATTTAGAATAGCATTCTCAGAAGAATTTCGAAAGAATCAATTATTTAATAATTTTTTTTATACAATTCTTTACAATAATTCAAATACTTTTACATACTAATAATAACATTTTTTATGGAAATTCAATTTTTTAAAAATTTTTTGATAAAATTCAATTCTAAGCAAGATTTCAATTATTTTCATAAAAAAAATAAAAACTCATCGAAGAATTTCAATTATTTTGAATACTATTTTAAATTAACTATAATCGTAAAATTCAATTATTTTCACAAATAAAATTTTCCAGGAGAATTCAATTATTAAAAAGAAAATTTTCATATAATATTTATTATATTTCGAAAAAATTAATTATTTACAAGAATGTTTAAAAAATTCTTATGAAGAATTCAATTATTTTCAAAAAAAAAATAACATAATTTTTCACAGAAATTCAATTCTATTTTAAACTTGTTAATAAAATTTTTCGCAATAATTCAATTTTTTTTTCCTAAATAATATAAAATTCTTCTCAGGAATTCAATTATTTTTGAAAATTTTAAATAAATTTCTTGGCAACTATTCAATTATTATTTTCAGAAACAATAAAATTCATCGCAGATTTGAGATTGAGAATTTCTTAAATATTTTCTTTCCAAAAATTTAGTTTTTCGAAAAAATCAAATATTTATAAAAATTTTTTCATTAAAATTCTTTGGAAGAATTCAATTATTTTTTACAAAAATATTAAAATTTTTCAGAGAAATTCAATTATTTCCAATTATTATTATTTTAAATACAATTCTTAATTAAATTTTTTTGAAATAGTTTAATTATTCTTTTAGATTTAAAATTTAATTTAATTTTTCTTTAATTTATTTTTTTAAATTTAAAATTCTTCCTAAGAGTTCAATTATTTACATAAGTAATTATTCAATGAATTCAATTATTAAAAATAAATAACAAAATTTTAAGGCGCATTTTCATAAAATGTTTCGCAATAATTCAATTATTTTCTGGAATAATAAAATTCTTCTTAAGAATTCAATTATTTTTTAAAATTTTAATAAAATTCTTTGCAACTATTCAATTATTTTCATAACTAATAAAATTCATCGCAGGATTTCAATTATTTTTAATAGAATTTTACAGGAATTGCTCAAAAAAAATGTAATTACTCTTAAAAATTTAATTTCAATTCCTCGTAAAAATCAATTATTTAAAAAAATGATTTTTTAAAAATTTTTTGGAAGGATTCAATTATTTATAAAAGTATTAGAATTTTTCACAGGAATTCAATTATTTTCAAATATTTTAATAAAATTGTTCGAAAGAAATCAATTATTTTAAATACATAATTTTAATTAAATTTTTTTTAAATAATTCAATTATTCTTTTAGATTTTAAAAAAACTCTTACCAATAATTCAATTATTTACATAAATAATTCTTCGGAAGAATTCAATTACTATGTCAATAAATAACAAAATTATTCCCAAAAATTCAATTAATTTGAGGAATTTTAATAAAATTCTTTGTGAATTTCAATTATTTTCATAAACAACAATATTCATCAGAAGAATTCATTTATTTTTAAAAGTAATAAATTTTTTCTATTAAATTCAATTATTTAAAAAAAAAAAATTCTAATAAAATTGTTTTATAATTAATAATTTTTTAAATATTAAAACTTTTATATCTCACTGCCTTTTCTCACTTTTACTTCAATATCACTTCATTTGTACTTCACTTTCACTCGACATTCACTTTATTTTCACTTCACTCTAACGTTACTGCGATTACGTGATTTTATAATGAAGTGAAAGTTAAGTGTAAAGAAAGTAAATGTCGAGTAAAAGTGAAAAAAATTAAAGTGAGAATAATGTAAGAGTGAAATGATAGTGAAGTGAAAATAAACTGAAAGTAAAGTGACAGTGAAGTGAGAGTGAAATGAAAGTAAACTGTAACTGAAGTGAGAATAAAGTGAGATTGAAATGAAGTGAAGGGGAAGTGAAAGTAAAATGAGAATGAAGTGACAGTGAAGTGAAAGTGAAATGAGAATAAAGTGATAGTGAAGTGAAAGTAAAGTGAAAGTAAATTGAAAGTGAAGTGAAAGTGAAGTAAAGGTGAAATGAACGTAAAATGAGAATGAAGTGACAGTGAAGTGAAAGTGAAATGAGAATAAAGTGATAGTGAAGTGAAAGTAAAGTGAAAGTAAATTGAAAGTGAAGTGAAAGTGAAGTAAAGGTGAAATGAACGTAAAATGAGAATGAAGTGACAGTAAAGTGAAAGTGAAATGAGAAGAAAGTGAAAGTAAAGTGAAAGTAAAGTGAAAGTAAATTGAAAGTGAAGTGAAGTGAAAATGAAGTGTGAATAAAGTGAAAGTGAAGTGAACGTAAATTTTTGTCAAATTTGCCACAAATCGGCTAAAAAAAAGTATAAAAAAGCGGCGATAGCTTTTTTTTGTTTCAAAAATATACCCCGCTAAAAATTAATTTGCCCTTTTTATAATCCTCTTTAAACATCAATAGAATAACAATTTTTTTCTTGCGTGCGCATTCAAAATTACATAATTTAAACAACTCGCCTATTTACACATATAAATATATATATATATATATAAGAAAGACTCGATTATATTCTCCTTTATATAAAGCTTCTCTCATTATCATAAAAAATTACAACGAAAATATTTTCACGCTCTAAAAAAGCTAATGTCCCATATGGAGTTTGTTTGTGAAGAATAATAGTGCGTCTGATCGTTGTTGTGTGTGCGCGCCTTTTTTTCATTGTTATTTCGCCTCTTGACTCTCGAAAGGTAACAAAAGCAAACCCTGATTAATAATTATGCCAAAAAGCGCACCTTACCCATGTTCCCTCATTTTTTTTTTTTCTGTCCACGACGCACTGGCCTAATTTCTTTTGCCCCAAATGAATCATGTGCTTGATTTCCTTTTGCCCCCTCGTTGAAAAAAAAGTACCTGTGACCTTCCACTGCCAACTCAAGTATAAAGAGACTACTTGTTTCTATATATTTTGGGCGTACGCTTCATATGTATGTGCGTTGACAGAGAATTTGACCTTTTTCGTAGAAACTTATCGAGAGAACCGTTGACCACAAAATTCGACCAGCTGGACATTTTTTTTTAAATAAGCAAAGTCGTAAAATCTGTTTTATATTACTATTAAAGACGGCACAGTTAAAACAATTCTAATCTAGTCTCGAAATCTCAAAATTTCATTTTAACATTTTTTCTCTCTCTCTCTCTGTAAAAAATATTTTTTTTTATTGATTTTATTTTCGTGTCGATTTAAGAAATATTGAATGTACAAAACATGAAAACAAGCTTAGTTATTCGATGATGTAAAACACCATCTAATTGAAAAATTATCTAAAAAAACATTGTCGATCGCAATCGATCTTGACACATAGATTCATATGCGTGTATTTAAAGAAGTTGATTTCCATAGATTTTTATCTCGTTTTAGTTTTAAATTGTAGATTAAATGTTTTTTTTAAAAAAAAATGTTTTCTTTTTTCTCTTA